TATATATATATATATATATATATATATATATATATATATATGATGGGAAAGAAATGAAAGGTGATGGATGAGGAGTACAATCAACAAAAAGAATTTTAGAAGGTGTCTTATAGTCTTTGATTTTCAATTGTGTGCAAGGAACCTTTTTCCTTTTTAAATCTCATTTTTTTTTTTTTTTTTAATAAATAAAATTCTTTAAAATACCATTTTATTTTGTTTATATACAGTTGTAGATGAGCAGGTCAGATAACAAGTTAAAACAAAGTCGAATCCAATTAACCTACGAACTAGGTGTGCTACCATATTTTTCCTTTATACCACGTATCAATTAATTATACTGGTATGAAAAACTAATTATACTGGTATAGAAAACCTATGTCGTATACCCACCAACATTACTTGGTACGAGTTTTTAAAAAAGTAGTTAGATATTGATTTTGTATTACCATTGAAACTTCACAACAAAGTGTTGTAAAGGTAAAAAAAAGTCAAAATTTCACAGCAAAAACACTGTGAAAGTTACTTTCATAGTGTTTTGTTGTGAACTTTCAAATATAAAATGGTGTCTCATGTGTTTCACAAAAACAGTCTTGTCTCACATGATCCCAAATCTACATATATAAGGGGGAGATTCTCATTTCTTTATACCATATACAGGGGTAATATTTTCAAGCCTTATAAAATTGTGAGAATTCTAAAAACTAGTGTATCATTATTATTTTCTAAAAAATTATCTAAAAATTAGGATTTAAAATATTGATTAACATATATTTGTTTCATAATATGTTTATTTTGCATGTATTTGTTTCACAATTTGAAATTTTTTACATGTTTGTGCAACAAAAAATACACGCAAAAGAATTTCATATTGTGAACCAAAATACATATTCTAAAAACCTCTGAATAATTTTGTATCTTGGGCCTCTCTTAACCATACAACGCCCTAATTTCATTCTCATTAATTACCAAACAATTATATTTCATTTGCACTATATCATAAGAACCTCTTATTCATTCTGAATTTCTGACCACTTAATCATTCTACATCAAATTATTCAGTAACTGTCAAACAGTCACTTAATTTAGTTTAAGTTTTTAATGAAATCATAATTTTATCAGGTGGTGAATTTACAGGCTGAGGTCTCCTATTTCCAAGCCCACCTAGCTACCCTACACCTAGAGGTTCCACCTACACCACCGGGATTTTGCACCGCCAATCTCCCAACCACCGCATCTCCTCCGCCCATCTACGATTTGTCGCTACTTTTTGATCCCATGATGCAACCACCAGCTGCAAGACAGATGGATCACCATCAACTCAGTGCTGGCACCGGCGGAGCTCCACCGCACCAAGGTGGTGGTGGTGATCTTCATGCGCTAGCTAGGGAGCTTTTGCAAAGGCAGAGTACCATGGCTTCTGAAACTTCACCTTTGCCACCACATAGGAGAGGAAATCAAAGACTCTGACTTTTTACTTTCACTTAATATATCCAGGAGTTTTGAGTTTTGAATTTCTTTTTTCCATTTTCATTTCGGGATTTTATTTATTAATTTTATTAACTTTGGTGGAGGTTCAAACGAGAACACCTCTATTTTACGAGAACGCAAGAACACCTTTATCATATGTGATAATACGCATGAAGAGACCCCGTGATGTGCGGACGACGTGTTCTATGACTTAGGCGGCACCAAAGGTTGTACATGTCTATTATGATTTAGCATCACATGTGATGGTCTTGATAAATTATAGTATCATATCAACAACACACTTATCGTATGTGATAATAATGTGAGGGGGCTTAGTAGTGTAAGGACGACTTAGCCTGAAACCAAGATCGCATCGAAAATCGTCTGTCTCTGATTTAGTATCACATGTGATTGTCTATAGTAAAAGAGTGTTCTCGCGTTCTCGTAAAATGAATGTGTTCTCGTTTGAACTCTTCCCTATGTAAAAAAAAATATTTCCAATGAACTTTTGAAATAAGTTCAAAAAATAAGCTAGCTTATGTCTGTCAAACATGGTCTACCAAAGTAAGGGAGCTAAGCAGGGTACAACAACCGGAGAAATCAGGAAAATGACGGATACGGTTGGATATGGCACACGATCAATTACGACACCAATCTGCAACCATGATTTCATTTTCAATCAGACTCGTGAAGGAAATATTGCATCTATCTTGAGATAAAGAATTATGTTTCCGTTGAAGCGTAATCTCTCAGAACAAGCTCGACTTCTTCCACCACTCCCAAATCCCGAAACCAACGCGCCAATTTCTCCGAACCTTCTTTACCGATCATTATCCCTTCCCTCTCCAAATCCATCAAAAAGTCCAAAACTTCCTTAAGCTTATTCTCCTTCTGATAAACGTCCAACATCAAACCCACACACTTGTCGTTCGGCAAAATACCCGCTCTTCTCATGTTCTCATATGCAACTCGAGCTTCTCGACTTTTACCTGCACCTACATACGCGTTAATCAGGACCGTACAAATCTTATCATCAGGAATAATACCCGCGATTTGAATTGAATCAAAGATTCGTTGAGCTCCTACACTATCACCATTCATGGAGTATGCTCGTAACATTGCCTTGTAAACTTCGCTTTTCGCATAAACTTGTAAAGCTTCCATTTCCGTTAGCAAAATCTCGGCATCTTCTAACATTCCGGCTCGGATGAATGCCATAACCATGGACCCATAAGCTCGGTTATCTAAAGGGGGGCCGAGGAGTTTCATTTGTTCGAATGTGTCTTTTGCGAGATTAAAGTTGCCAGCTTTACTGTACATGTGAATTAAAGCGGTTAAAGTCACCTGATCGCATTCAAAGCTTCGATTCTTCATGGCTTGTAGCGCGTTTTCGGCATCTTGTAATCGACTTTCCTTGGCGTAACCGTGAATCATCTTTGTATAGTCGCGGATATTAGGTTCGAACGATTCTTCAAGAAGCGCAAATTCCGCTACCTATAGCAATGTCTCGAAAGTGATAAAAGAAGATTATGATTCTTGATAGCTCAAGGGTTTTCTAGTGCTCCCTCGATTACATATTGCAATGCTTAAAACTAGAGATCGTTTCACCAAACCAAAACTAACCCGATATATCTTATTTGAAGGTAGGGTCTGATGTACACAAACGGCAAGAGATGCCAAAAAAGCCCAAGCCTGAAGACAGGCCCGAAAAATCCTGGGCTTAGTAAACCCGAGGCCAAGCGCAGGGACAGGACCGGCCTTAAAGCCTGATCAGACCAACTAATTTCAAGGCCCGTTAAAGCCCGGTTAAGCCAAAAAAGCCTGATCTTTCAACTCAAAGCCTGGTCCAGCCCGAAAAAGGACGGGCTTTCATTTTGCTTACCGGAAAACGGGGTTGGAAGGCTCGAAAAAGCCCGGGCCTTGTGCATCTCTGACGCAAACGTGTCCTCTACCCCGAAAGAGCAGAGGGGTTGTTTCCGCGAAGACTACCGGTTAAGGCTCCAAGAATGCAGTGGAAATCTAATCTCCTTTCCAAATCCCTTGTGGCTGTGAGTTTCACCTACGATAACTCTAAGTCATTTGTGGTTGCTCATGGGATTATGCGGTACACATAAAGCTGGCCCGGATACTCATAGTTACCTAAAAAGAAAGGCAATGCAGCATTGCCTTAATGGGCCACATTTCTACTTATCATAATTAGAGGTAGAATTTGGAAAATAAGCATCGTCTTTTAAAAATATGACTCTAACGAGTTGAACATATAAGGCGTGTTTGAGATTGCTTATATAAACAGCTTATTGACTTATTTCGGTATGGTACCAATAATAAGCACTTTTTGAGTGTTCGGATAAACAACTTATACAAGTGTCAAACCGGTAACAAGAAGTTTTTGAAGAAGTTAAAACAAAAACATTCTAACATCCTACCCAGCATATGAACAATTGATTTCCAGACATATATGTCAAAATATGCAACCAAAAGATCAAATAAATTCGCCCAAAAATCTATCAAAAAGTGGAAAAAGTATACCTCGAATCGCAATGGATGATTCATGTTTCCCAATTCTTTGAGAACAACAAGCCAATCAGCTCGAACAGGTTTCATGCTCCTCACCCACGCAGCCAACACCATCGACAGATTAGTTTTTTCAGGTGAAAAGCAAATCAATTGTTTCATCAAGGCCCTGCACCGATTCGTCATCTTTTTCGGCAATCGAGATATATGATTTCGTTGCGCATCATTAATTTCATCAGGTTTGATTTCAACCCACCTAATCTTCGATCTCTCATCTTCAACCTTCTGCATCTGCCCTAGGTCCCCAACTGCGCATACCAACCGTAAAATTATGGGTTTTAGAAGGTTTAAATTTGTGGAATTTGTAAATCGAGATTGTTTCCATGAATGGAAGCAATGAAACACTTGAGTTTTGCAGATTAGGGTACAGTTAGGGTTCGAGAAAGCTAGCATGGTTAGAGGGAAAGGGAACTAAGTAAACCTAGAGAGAATGCATGAAATTGAAGAGCATTTGGACCTAATTAGGTCATGGAAATAGAAGATTCAATGGATAGAAACCCTAAATCTTGCTGGTTTTTAGGTTTAATTTGCATTGAGATGGAAAGAACACAAGAATTTGCTTGTGTGCAGGGTGAGAGTGAGAGCAAAGGGAATGGAGGAATCAGATAGGATGAAGTTGACCTGTAACCGGTTTTTCATGATCCGGTTATAACCCGACCCACTTGAAAACGAAAATTAAATAGGAGTAAACTACAATATAAAGGGACAATGATGGAAAGATGGGATTCATTTAACAAAATCTGTTTTGTTTGTTTATTTCTTAATAGTTTTATTAAAATATAATATCTGAATTATTAAGAGATGAATCTTGTTTGGCAAAAAAAAATCTATCTCTAAATGGTTTCAAAACTATCTGAATGATTTTGTATCATGAGTCTCTCTTAACCATTAAGTGGGCTAATTTTATTGGAAACAATTATCAAACAATTATATTTTATTTTATACTATATCATGAAAGTCTTTTAATCATTCTAACCAATTAATCATTCTGCACCAAACCATTCAGCAACTGTCAAACAACCACTAAATGTCGTTAGAAAAAAAGACTAAATCCGAACGTTTTAGCAAACCATGATGGTCATCTTGTAATTGTAAAACTGTATATGAAAAGTGTGAACTTTTGACAAACTATAGTGATCAAATTTGTAGTTTACTCTAAAAATATAGTTAAATTATAGGTTTGATCCCTATGGTATGTAATGTTTTACAAAATTGGTCCTTAAATTTTATTTATTACCTAGTGGTATCCACTTTTTATCAGTTTTAGTCCCTCGACCAAACGGTCATCCAATTAGAGGCGTTAACTCAGCTCATGTGAGGTATACAAAATAGAAACTAACAATTGTACTGTGAGGTTCTAAACTGTACAGCATGGTGAGGTATGAGCGGGTTGGACGTAAAATGAACACTCGTCGTTTGCTATGCACATGGGTTGAGTTAACGCCTACAATTGGATGGTCGTTTGGTCGAGGGGACCAAAACCAGTAAAAAGTGCATATCACCATATAATATATGTGACAAATGAAGTTTATAGATCAATTCCATAAAAATCTCATACCATAGGGACCAAATGTATAATTTACTTAATGTTTATTGGGTAAGTGCTTACAAATATATTTTTTTTAACGGAAAGTGCTTACAAATATTACTTACCTTACTTATTAAGTATGGTAAGGACCGAGAATCTTACTCGGTAAGAGGCATAACAAGGACCGAGAGTTTTGCCAGGTAAGTGAAGGAAAAAACTCTTACCGTATAAGCGCTTACCAAGTTTAAGACGCTTAAGAACAATCAATTTTGATAGCCAAAAATGTTACAAGATAAGGTAAGTGAGGGTGATGTCTCTTACTGGTAACCGTTTGGTAAACGGCCACTAAATGATGTCATTTAGAGCATACCCCTGAATCAGTCGACGGTAAAACTTGTTTGGTAAAATTTTAATGTCCTCTAAACTATTCCAGACATCTTTGAATCGTCCATTTTCTAGAGTATGATCGCATTATTCAGAGACGTCTTATTTCCACGATTACCCTTGTCTTCATTTTGCTTGTCTCCTCTATTTAAGGGCCGTTTAATAAACACTTACTTGGTAAGTATTTAACACATAAATTTCATCATCGGATGAACATGAGAAGGGTCAAGAATCTAACCAGGTAAGCGTGATGAGAAAGATGGAGAGTCTTATCCAGTAAGTAAGGATGACGACTCTTATCCAAGTAAGCGCTTACCTAGTAAATTGTTGCATTCGATATGCTTTGACGTACTAAAATCTTACGCATCTAAATAAATTATAGTGTTGTCTCCTATTAATAAGCGCTTACCGAGTAAGCATTTGGATAAACGGCCTCTTAATTATTCCAAATTTTTGTGATACAATAAGAAATATTATCAATCTACACCATTATCAAATCACATTTCAACTATAAAATGACCATAGTGCCCTCAAGTACATGAACTTGATGGCTGAAAGTGTTGTGGGATGTACCAAAACTGAGCAAAAATGTGAATCACACTAGCAAATTTTAGAATAAAAGAACTTTAAGAACCAAAACAAAAAAAAACCGAAAAACACCAGAACCAAAACCGCAGTTTTACTCAAAATTTTAACTGGGACCGTAACCGATCACCCCTACAAGCATCCTTAATGTAGGCTAACTAGCATCGTTTCTATTTAGAGCATCTTCAACTGGAACACCAAAAGTTGGAGATGCTCGTACTGAATGGACATTGTTGACCTAGCAGCATTCGAGTTACGGGTAAATCCTAATTCTTCTCTAAAGGTCGAGGGTTTAATCTCACCAAAATTGTTTTGTACGTAAGTAGTTGTCGTATATAAATATTATACAGTTAAAAAAACGATCTAATTCTACGGATGATGTACAAGATTTGGTTAAAAAGGTACAATCATTTAATGCATGTTTAGGTTGTTTCCACAGTGGTTATCTTTCTCTTATCAGATGCTTCTCCTGCTTTCCCAGTATGTTTTCTGCTCTTGCTCTTGCTACTGCTACTGCTGCTATTTGCATCTTTTTTTGGTACGGTACGTTGCAATATACGAACGGGGATCCCACCCATATCGAAGTCTTCCTTCAAAGATCTCGTTAAGAACCTTAAGTCCGTGTCGGAAAGTCTCGTTTTTCCGCTAACGAAAGCAACGAAAGTGGGCGGACGGGCTTTGACCTGAGTGAAATACTTGACCTTTGGCTGAGTCCCTAGATCTTTCCAAGAATGTCTGCTCATTATCTGTTCATATGACACCAGGATAATATTTAACGAGTTTTTAGTTGGGAGCATGATTGTTGATTAAATGACCTTAAACGAGGTTTCAATTAGGACTAGGAGCATGGCCTTTACAAATAAATTAGGGAGTCGTTTACTAAACGCAAACTGGGTAAGCGCTTATCGGCAAAAATAACCACCCTCGTTTATCTTATTGGGTAACATGCTCGGCCATCAAAACCAATTGTGGTAAGCATCTTTTATCCAGCAAGCGCTAACCGGATAAGAGTCTTCTCCCCCACTATATAAGATCCTCAGTCTTCGCTATGCCTATTACAGGGTAAGATTCTCGGTCTTTTTCATGCTCACCCAGTAAGGTTAGTGGCACTATGGTACAAGGGTAAATTGGTCCACATTTCTATTTTAGCTATTAAGGGTAAATTTGTCATTTAGGCAATTAAAAAGTGTAACAATTATATATTTCTAAACCCGTGTCTTTTTTCGTTGTGGATATTTATTTTGGGACGGATAGAGTAAGGGACCGTTTACCAAACGCTTATCCGGGTAAGTGCTTATCAAGTCACGTTACCTCATCGGATGAATATGGTAAGGACCAAGAATCTTACCCGGTAAGAACGAAATGATAACCAAAAGTCTTACCCAGTAAGTGAGGGCGACGACTCTTACCACAGTAAGCACTTACCGGGTAAATTGTTGCATCCGATGTTGTTTTGATGGACTAAATCCTTACCCGATAAGTAAATAATAGTGTTAAATTTTACCGGTAAGCACTTACTGGGTAAATGTTTGGTAAACGGCCCCCAACACTCGGATGACCTAATTACACTGTCTAGTGTTCTGCAGTAGAAGGTTATTTTGTAAAAATGACTTTCCATAGAAGGTCATTTAACAAAATAGTTCATGGTATACAACCTTCACTACATGGTAGAAATCAATAAGGCATGGCATAACGGATTTGGTGATCGTCGATCTAAATGAATCCTCCTCTATAAATTTCTTCTCACATGTCAAAATCAAACATATCTTTTATTCCAAGATATCGATTTGTGACCAAAAGGGGGTGTTTAGCAACACTCATTAAATGATTTTTATTTGGAAAATAAATTAAAAAATCGTTATAGGATTAACCTTGCGTAGCCAACGGTTAAGGCGAGCTGTTGATAACCTCAAACACCACTTTCTGTATGTATCGACAACCTGCTGCATCACCTCTATTCTGCCTTTTCCTTCTAGTGCTGAAACAAATACAACAGGTATCCCCGTCACCTGTTCGTAATACTTGTTAAGACCAATATGCACTACAAAGTATTCGAGTCACAACAAATATTATTCAAATATGTATGTTTATATCTTTATGGTATTTTATGATTCATCGGGTGGTTAAAGAGGAGAGTTGTCATGTGAGTGTTATGCGACAAGAAAGTCCCACTAAAACCTAAAGTGAAAATTCTACAAGATACCCATCAAACCAGCTATGTTGTATGTGTATGGTGTGTTGCAATGAGAGGCGCAAGAGAGGAAGTTAGAAGTTGCAAAAATGAGGATGCTTAAGTGGACCTATGGGTTGACCATGTTAGACAGGATACCGAACGTGGCCTTTCGGGTAGAGTTGGAAGTTGTGACCATCAACGATAAACTGAGGGAAAGATTATGGTGATTTGGACATGTAGGCAGGAGGCAGATTATGACACTGGTGAGGACGAGAGGCAGGCGAGGGATGAGCAATAGAGGATAGACATGGCAGCCTTACGACATTTTCAAGGACATGATCTCTAATAGGAGCTCTTGAAGACCAGGGGGACCCACATGGATAGATACGGTGGCACGGGCCACCGCTTCATGGTTCAGTCGTGAGGGGGGGAATTGCGTTTCTAAAGGGTACCACCTTATTGTTTTGTTGGGTGCCACCATATAGTTTTTGAAACTGAAATGTTAACACAAGACTTTAATGGATAAGATGGTAAAAGTTCTTGCCTTTGTACAAAAGGCCCAGGTTCGAGTACCACAGTTGTCAAATTTGTTGTTTTTTAGCTTAAATTTTGGTGTTCTTTTATAAACCTCTTGTATTTTTTTAAATATGTGTAAACCGACTCGAACATAAAGTCTTTTCTATGTAAGGACAAGAAACCAACCAACAAATTTATACTAATATTGTGGGGGAAAAACAGATAATTTTTCATAGTCAAATTGTGCCACCACTTGAAAGTTTTTCTGGGTCCCCCTCTGTTGAAGACGCAAGACTAGGGTGGCAAACTATATGGATATAATGATAATAAAAGATTAAAAAAACTATGAAAAACAAGGTGGACAAAAAGAAATCAAGTGAAAGCAGATCATGGCTTGAATCTTAAAGATTTAACAAACCTGGGGGATGACCGTTTGAATTTCTTCAGGGACAGCTTTGATGACCCGATCATATAGTTTTCCTTCAAGAAGATCCATCTTATTCACAATCATAATCAAACCCCGCCCTTCTTCTACAGCTCGTCTGGCTATAACTACTTCATCATGTGTCATGCTTTTCCTAGCTTGTGAAACCTAGGCGTCATTCAGAAAGAGAACACATCAAACAAGTTATGAATATTGTGATTTCCACTCCTTTCAACCTAATTGCATTACCCCTTCTATCCAAAATAAATGTCCACAATGAAAAAAGCATACAGTTCTAGAAACGTGTAATTATTACACTTTTTATTTAACTAAATGACACTTTTACCCTTAATAACAGAGGGAATAATGAATTTCTCCATCTCATAATGAAGGGTAGAATTGGAATTTGAAAGTGCACACTTATTATGTGACAAATTAAAATACATATGTGGACTGTTATTTTGAGACGGAGGAAGTAAATCAAAATGGGATGAAACAATCCGAAGCAAACTGTGAGAAAAAAGCTAAATTGAGGAAGTGCAAGTAAATCCGAACATAATGGGCAATGATGAGCATTACAAATGCTACTGTGATGAATGCTGGAATATGATCAAACGATAACAAAAGGGTAGGAGAGGGAAAGAGAGAGAAGGTATCCATAGAATATACTCCAGTAGACTTGAGATCATGTGTGACCATCCTGTTTTGGTGAGACCCATGAGAGCACCTTTTTACACTTGAAACTTCATAGTAGAACACTGTGAAGGTAACCTTCACAGTGTTTTTGCTGTCAAGTTCAGATTTTTTACCTTCACAATGTTTTGCTGTGAAGTTTCAAGTGTAAAAACGTGGTCTCACGGGTCTTACGAAAACAGGTTGGTCTCACGTGAACCCAACCCTACTCCAGTAAGTTATTTGTTATGAGGTGAAACCAGTAACATTTGACCCACCTGTTCACCATCAAGGACTAAAGCAACCACATGAGCCCTCATCAGGTTTTTCCTCGACTGCATAATGCTCAAGGACGATGGTCCTTTCTCTGACTTTGTTCTCTGCAACCAACCTGCTGTGTCGACCTATGTAACCAAACTTAATTGAATCATCCACTGTGTTTACATCAAAGAAATGATAAGTTGAATTTATATATGCCAAAACAACTAAATACGCAAGTCTGTTTTTAACCCATCTGGTGGTACGAGGTTTAGGATTAAATTAGAATGAGTCGAGTAGGAAGTCATAGTTCAAAGCTTGCTAACATTACACGAAAAAGGGAAACATGTGTTGGGCAAGTTCTTTGATGTTGGAAAAGTGGAATACTTGCAGTTCTTTATTGTACTTGAACAAAGAGAAATTCAAGATAGCTGGTTACCCCGAAGAAAGTATATTTAAGGAATTACCATGTATATCTTTCTTCCTTCGTATTCAAACTCAACTCTAACAGAATCTCTTGTTAAACCAGCCTCTGGACCCACCAAAACACGATCTTCCTGCAGGACTGCATTCAACAAGGTTGATTTCCCAACATTAGGCCGTCCTACAAATGCTAGCTGCAGTGGTAGTTTTGGGTCCTCTTGCTCACAAGACTGACACTCTCCATTAGTTTCATCTGCAGATTCTAGGTTGCAAAAAAAGATTCATGAATAACAAGTTGGTATGAATATTTTTAATAGAAAAAAGATCGAAAAGGTCTTTTGCTTCATTTTAAACAATGCAAGATAAGATATCATAACCAACCATAGTTTCAAGCTTTCAATATTAAATAAGTTGGATCATGCCCAAACAATATGCATAGGGTTGGGGCTTTTTGCCTGACTCTTGTTTGTTTTTTCAGTGGTTTATAAATTTGCCTGGATTCCCTTTCAAAAAAAGCCCATTAAGAAATAGCAAGGTTGGCCATAGGAGCAAAGGAGGGATATCTTATGTTACTGAATTCTAGGATCCATTCAAGTCATCCTTGATTCTAACCATTTCTCACATTCAGCCTTCCCCTAGAAGTTTTTAGATTAAGAGGCTTGTTAATAGTGTTGTTTTCTGTGAAGAGAAATATCGTCCATGTTCCCTCTCCTAAGGTTATTTTTCTTCACAGAGTCAGTGTTCTAAAAATTCCTAACTGAGGACCTGTAAAGTAGCCGCCTAGGAGTTAAGGCGTCCCCTCATTGCTTAGATTAGTTAAGACACTAATTGGCAGATTCAAGATACCATTCCAAATCTGATATACAACAGTTTTGCGTAAACACGTAGTCAAAAAATTTAGGAGACAACTGTAACAAATGTGCAAAATGGTGCAAGACCCCACACAGAAGGAATGCTGCCATTTAAGAACAATGGTGATTTACGAGAATGTTTGTAGTGACTATAAATCTACGGAGAACGACAAGTAACATTTTGATATTAAAAATCATTGTGAATCATCTCAAGCTCATCCAGCCACTCAAGTCTGCTAAGGTTGTAGCTAACAAGTCTAGGGCTGTAAACGAACCGAACGTTCAGCGAACCGTTCGTGAACCGTTCGGCGGGAAGTTCGTTTATGTTCGTTTATTTAATAAATGAACGAACATGAACAATTTTTTTTTGTTCGTTTAGTTAAACGAACGAACATGAACAAGAGCCTCGTTCGTTCGTTTATGTTCGTGAACGTTCGTTCATTTACCGTTCGTTTACGTTCGTTTATATTCGTTCGTTTATGTTCGTTTATATATTAAATTTAATATATAATCTTTTATTTATTTACTTTGAATTCAAATAATATTTATTTATGTTCGTTTAACACGTTCGTTTATGTTCGTTCGTCTCGTTCGTTTATGTTCGTTCGTTTACGTTCGTTTAGCATGTTAACGAACGAACATAAACGAACACGAACACACCTGATTTCTAAACGAACGAACACGAACACAAATATTTTCGTTCGTTTATCGTTCGTGTTCGTTCGTTTGTTCGGTTAAGTTAAACGAACGAACATGAACAAGCCTCTGTTCGTGTTCGTTCGGTTCGTTTACAGCCCTAAACAAGTCTAGTTGTGGCATGAATTTACTACAAGTCTCTATGAATCATTCTTTAGTGTCGTCATTGCAAAGTATCACAACATTTACCTTAACCTAGACCCTTGCATGCATCCAAATCATGAAAATGGAGAAAATTTCACATTTAGGTTTCAACAGTGAATATAGGAATAAACTTAACAAAAGTCGCAAATATCTAAAAACAAAGCATTCTTAGGGTGTCTATCATGAAAATGCACCTAAGAAAGACTATCAACATGATTGGAAATCCTAAGGTGCAGATGGTACGTGGCTGTGTTCTACCGACTTCCAAAACCCATAAAAAATGCAAAAGCAAAAAATTATAGTTTTAGTTTTTTCATATTACACAAAATGTGATGCTCAATCAACATGCATTGATGAACGTCATTAAGAAAGAACCATATATAATCTATACTATACTATAAATCATTTTGCTCAAAGTCTTAAAAACACCCGTGTAAATAGCATTCAATACTGTTAATTAATGCATCTTTTACATTCATTGATCCCTAAACTTACAAATCAGAAGACACAAAATGCAAAATGTTACCTTTTTTGTAGTGGTATGTAACCTCCACATAGCTTTCATCAAAAATTTATATCACTTCTTACCAAGTAACATCAAAGATAGTCGCATCAATATACACTTAGGACCAGCACACATTTGGTGATTTCTTTATAACATAAGACAATGTCAAAATAATCTTACCATCTACAACCTGAAGCATGTGTTCCTCAAGCAGTGGCCTGAGAACTTCATATAGATCATTCATCCCCAAACCAGTCTCAGCGGAAATAGCAATAGGATCTCCAAATCCCAACGTATGGGCTTCACCAGCAGCAGCAGCAAGGGAACCAAAACCATCATCAAGCGCTTCAGCTTTATTCATTACTGTGATGATCTTCATTCCAGGAGCATGCTTGCGAAGCCATTTTCCAACATCCAAATCCATGGGCTGTAATCCATCTCTAGTCAAGAAATAAAGAAATTACATTCTGCACTAAAGATGAAAAAAATGATATCATATGGTCATCTTTATATGTATGCATACTTATTATATTAATACTTTTCATGCCGCTAGTGTAAGTCTACACTTGATAACCATCGAAGGAAATGTTTGAAACAAGTAGAGATAGTGGTCATGTTAGTGTTCGATATGATTCATCTTGCTTCCTTTGTCTTCTTAGCAAACAAAGACCAAAGTAATCAAATAGTTGAAGAAATGAGAACAACCCCAAGCTTTATCATCACAAGAGATAAAAAAACCTAAATCAATCTAAAAATTCACAAAATTAAACTTCACCTAGATTAATTTCTCCATGTCCAAATACGAGAGCATGTAAACAAATATCAGCATTGAACACTTCATGAAACTAACCGTGCATCTATGAGAAATAGTGCAAAGTTGGACATCCTCAACACATTCGCCGTCATTTCTGCAGTCCTTCCAAGAACAGAACCAGATGAAGCCTCGGCCTCTAAGCCAGCTGAATCCAACACCTTAAATCGCAAATCACCCAATTTGGCAATCCCATCTCGTATATCCCTAGTCACATGATCATTGGGAGTGTTGTACACAAGTGCCTCTCTCCTTCGAATCAAACTACAATAGATCCATAACCAACAATCAAAATGTAATTACATCAAAAAGAAGGAACTCTATGACAAACACACACACCCACCCACAATGAACAAGAGATGTGTAAATAAGAATAGCTAACCGATTAAACAATGCAGACTTGCCAACATTGGGGCGGCCAATAAGAAGTACCGTTGGAAGCAAATAAGCATCTACTTTGCTGAATTCAACTGATATTCCACTTGCAAACTTATCCCCAGGTAACTCAGTGCCGCTGAAATCAGCACCAATGTCTTTCATATCATCACTAACATCATCCTGAGCCGGAATTGTAGAAAACCAACTTCTATTCTCAAAAATAGAATGATGGAAGTGTGAAACAAAGGTGCGACTGTCTAAACCTAAATATCTGCTTCCCACAGGTAAGCAATTACCACGAAGCAGTGATCCTAGCATCAAAAACATTATTAGAATGTGAAAATCATGTTTTTCTGCCCTTCTAGGAGAAGGGCAAATTTCATATGCATTTTGTACATTCACACATGCATAATACCTTTATTGGACTGTAAAGCAGTAGAACTTTCACTTTCGATGCCATGGAGGATCAAATTCCTGTTTAGAAGAGTCGTAATATGAATGCGGCGGAGGATATTTCGACGTGAAAGACAATGAGCCCATGTGAGAGACATCACACAAAAAAATTGCTTGTAATGATTAATAAATGTTGCATGTACTCCAGTATCTTGCTTGCAAAATTTGGATCCTATTCTGCACCTCGAAACAATTTGAAAATAGAGAAATTAGAATCACAAGGCATCAAGTCTAACCAATTTTCTATTTTATCATTTCTTATAGATGATGACAGTAATGATAATATTCACACATGGTGATGTTGAGGACACCCTTAGAGGGGAGGAAGCAAAAGTGGCTCAGCTGAGGTGATAAGCAACGTACTCTGTGAATTGGGTATGATAAGGAAGGAAAGTGACTTCTGTTTCCAGCGTTTTGATAGTTCATGAAGAAACATACGCTTTACGTGCCTATCAGCCCCGGGCATATGAGTCTAGATGTCGGATCCATGAGTTCCACATAGAGGCTAGGGTTGTTCCTAAATGAGGTTGGATGCCCATCGTATGGCCTCCCTTTAAGCACTACACTGAATAGAACTTCCCCTACTCCCCCACCTTGGTAGAAACCCAAAAAGGCAGCTAGGAAGCAAAAGAGACGCAGAGACAAGCAACAGCAATTTGAGGGGATAAGCCGAAGAATGTACGCGATTAGAGCAGAGAAGCTGCAAGGTACAATTATTTTAAGGGAACGCGGGGAACAAGGGAAGGTACATGCACTCGTGCCCGGGTGGAGGTGCATGCTTGGGAGGTGGTGACGGTGGTGGTGAGTGCAGCTCAGGATTAGGGAACCTCCAATTGGCGGCTCGACAACCTAGTGAATGCAGAGGGTAGAATGACCGAGTGGCGTTGTGCAACGACGAGCCAGTGAAATTGATCTAGACGCTATAAGAATGGCTCAATCATGTGCACGTGAGATTTCCTGTCAAAACTTGGTGTCATGAAAATACCTCAGGATGAAGTCCTGAAGTCCAAATATCCCTGAGCGGAGAATTGGAATATCGTGTGCAAGGCATCCATGCTAAGGTGCCTATCCACATTGACTGCCTGTCGGGTCAATGGACATAATACAAAGGAATTCGAGCGTGAGGACACGGTAGGTATAGGCACGCCGGTTCAAAAATACATGCCACTCACACTTCCTGAAGAAGACAATGACATCTTGGAAGATCCCCAAAGTCCATAGGTATTCCTATCACATAACTTGGTTGGCGGATGTTCCGTGAAGCCAAATTCCAAATTGCTCCCTAGATGTGAATTCAATCAGGTTGGTGGACGATTTTGGGCTCAACAAGATCATGTCCCCCCCCCCCGGCGTGCGCAAGCACAGGGATTCGAGCATGAGCAGTCATCCAATCATCCCTAGTGCCACCACACCCTGTGAGACTCAAATATGCCATTATTGTGTGTTTTAAGTGTAAAATTGTTAACGTATAAAGTGCAACACAGCTCATTTCCACCCAATGGTGGCAGCCCAATCAAATAAGAACAAAATCGACTATACAACAATCTTGACAATGAAAAACACCAAGAACCGCAACCCACAACCAAATACTAACATTTGCACCAAAAATTTCGAGCTTCAATAAAGAGATCTCATAAACGACTAACCCACAAGCAAATATGCAGTTATGGACTCCACATAACCACAACTCAAAACATCAAATAGTATACCCAGAAGCTTAGAGTTGAACTGATGTTTGTAGTTCTTGGTGGGTTGGAGCAACCTTGAAGAAGAAGCTTTAAAATCGCCCAAAAAACTCAGAGAAAAAGAAGATGAATGCTGCTGGTGGGACTTCGATCAAGGCCATGAGGTGCTGCTTGATGGTCAAGAGGTTGCTAGGAGGTGGTGAACATGGTTCACGACCGTCCGGGTGGAGCTGGGATTTATGTTCAGGGTGATCCTCTTAAATTTAAGTACGTATTAATGGTTGAACATAAATCCCGGCTCCGCCCTGCCCAGGCCCAATATTGCTTAGACGTAACTCATACGACTTGTGCATGCTCCCAGCTCCATATGGGATATCCCATGTCTCTTATGGTTTTGCAGTTCAGTATTTGTTCCAAGCTTTCTGTCTTCATATGGAAAACTCTATCCTTGACCCAATCCTTTACTTCCCAATCTCACATAAACACCCCCATAATATCAATTATATCAAACTTAAATGATCAGATAGTTAAATTCTGACATATCAAACATCATGACTATGTTTATTCAACTTGTTTCCCATGACCTAAATTCCATCATAGGCTCTTTATCTCACTAAACCGTTGCATAAATTCAAAATATTAATCAAGAGTATACCTTGAACTAAAAACAATTTGATAGCTTAATGAGTTTAAGTTCTTATTGCAATACCCCATTACTTCTCCTTTTTCCTTTATATCTCTTCTCACTTATTCACAAGTTTCTAGCTTTCCTTTTCTGTGTTTCTTCACCTGAGTTTGAAAAAGAACAAAAGGAAGGAATGAAAGGCAATGACCCTATTCATACTTGTACCAAATCTAAGAAGGGTGGACAATCCCTACCTACTTAGACAATGTTAGCGGCTTTATTACAAGAGACTTAGGGCCTTGTTTGTTACCATCTTAATGAGCTTAATGAGACTTGCAACTTATTCGGTAAACTATACATGACTGTTTGGTAGTAGCTTAATGATACAGAAAGTGGCTTATTCAGTAAGCTCCCAGTGGGAGCTTTATGCATAAAACAAGTTTTTTCCAAACCTGCCACTCCCAATCAAAAACACGCTCTTTCCATCTATGAAAAAACCCTCCCAAACAAAAGCCTTCTCAATCTATACATATAGATTAATCCACAGACACAACTTTATTCATTCAGGACTTCAATGAAAAACCAACCAAACAACCCCTTAGTCATCTTACTAACATATGATGGCCTAGTTTTCAACCACCACAGAATATTCAGTTTCAAGTTTCAACCTTATTATGAATCGGAAAAACATCCATGTCTATAAGATAAGCATACAAACATAGACACACAGTGATACAGAGTACCTCACCCAAAACAAGAGGCGGATTAAGAATCTAGAACACAAATTGAAGTGAAATCAACAGCAGTAACTTATTAAATCAAGAATTAAGAAAGAAAAACAGAAGAAGAGAATCAATTGGTCATCAATACATATGACATTAACATTTACCCTAACAAGAAGAAGAAGAAGAACATAAGAAAATCATGAAAATACAAGATATTCAACAAACAAATTACATTACAAAACTGAGAAAAGATTCAACATTTAAACCTAAATAAAACCTGAGCGGTTGTTGCTGTGGCAAAGACGAGCTCCAGAGGAGTGACGAGGGGAGAAGGAGCTTGTCCTTGTAAAAGAAATTTTGAGTAAACTACATATTTGGTCCCTGCGGTTTGTTGAAAATCACATTTTTTTCGTCTTATAGTTTTGAAATTATAGGATGACCATTGTGAGTTATAAAAACATCTGGATTTAATCATTTCCTTTAATGATCGTTAGAAAGTTCCGTTAAATAAAAGGTATTTTCATTCTTTTAGGTAGTGTTTGGTACGCAGACTAGATTGGACAGGACAGGACGGGACTGGACTAATTGTCTGTCTCATGTTTGGTACGACTAAGACATGACAGGATAAAACTGTTAAAATGACCATATTACCTCTAAATGCTATAGGGTTTACCACTAGGGCATGCTTATGCTTATCTGATCATTTCAGACATATCTATTAGCTAAAAATTGAGTTGCATTAGAACCAAATGCAACTTATGACAGAAATGTTGTACCAAGAAATGAAGACATAAAGCTTATGCTTATGCTTCATCTACCCAAACTGAGTTGCATTAGATCCAAATTTATCTTACATTTAATTATAACAAAAACATAATACCAGTAAATTTGTGTTATTAAGCCATTTGGTGAAGAAACAATTGCAGAGGAGGCGATAAACAGAAACAAAGCAAAATCGTGCGCAGCAAAAAAACGAGAGGGAGAAATCGAGAAATCAAACCGATTGCAGAGGAGGCGATGGAGGCCGGTGGAAAAAGCCGATGTGGAAGAGGCGATGTGGAGGAGGATGTGAAGAGGTTGTGAAAGAGACGATGACGAAGGGACGATGACGAAGGGATGATGATGGAAGAGACGATGTGAAGAGGGGCTCTGCTAAGGACCAAAATTGTAGTTTATTGTTTTTACTTTTTTGTCTTTTTTTACTTTTTATCCTTTATGAAATTTTACTACTATATATATATATATATATATATATATATAGGAGCGTTTAAATGAAAACCATTATCATTTGTATAAATCATACAAATCATCTTCATACGTCGATTTTATTGTTTAAAATTACGAAATTTATAATAAAATTGTTTAATCTTGTAAAATTGTTTCATATAATACTTTTTTTGATGAATTTTTGTTTCATATATGGTTATGAAATTGTTTCATATAATATTTAATGAAACTGTTTCATGTATTTCTCTAAAATTAAAATAATGAAGATGATAATATCCATGATTAACACCCTCCACAATAAAAATGGTTATTCAACCTCTCATAATTACAAAAAAAATGAACAAAATGAAAATTTATGATTGGTTGAATGTGGTTTTCACGGTTTGTACAAATTGGGTGGTTTTTATTTGAACGTTTCTCTCTCTCTCTCTCTCTCTCTCTCTCTCTCTCTCTCTATATAT